GGGAGCTCTTCTTCCTGGCAAGTTCTCCAAGGCAGGGCTTAAGCCATAGTACTGGTATGCAGAGTGAAGGGGGTGCCAGGGCCTGTAGCCACCCTCGCCCTCAAACTAGAGGCCCACGAGTCCTCAAGCTCGTGTACGGTGACATCTGGGGCAGGCTGGCACCAGGCTCTAAGTTGCAGCTGTGATTCCCACCAGAGCCCATAATGGGCAGCATAGTGGCCACACACAACATGACACACCTGAACTCCAGTGCACAGTTGATCCCCAGTGCCCACGGCCACTTGAGAGCCACAGACTCCCACCAAAGTGGGTGGGCCACGGCCCCCTCCTGCTCCTGCCCTGAGCTCGTCTCTGGGCCTCCCCACCCACCACCTCTGGACAGGGACTCTACAGCCAGGCAGGGCCTCGAGGTTTGGCCACCTGCACACAGTTCTCCCAGGACATTCAAGAGGCAGCTTACTCACCTCTGCGACCTAGAGGCTTTACCCCTCCCCTTCAGCTCCTCCTGTCCTCCTGACTCCCTCTGGGCTGCTGGCACCCCCTCCCACCCCATCCCTTCCAGCACCAGCCCTCCCTCCACTGCCTGCACCCCCTCACTGCTCCTGAAGGGATTCCCCCCTCATCAGTACGGGCTTGTCCCCAACGTCACTCTTCCTCGGTGTGTCCCCAGCGGAGCCTGGGTGTCGGGCCTCAGCGTTTACCCAGGTTTCTCTGCTCAGAGATCTGAGCACAGAGACCAGAACAGTGATGGATTAACAGTCTCCAGGGGCCACAGGGCCACCATTCCTGCAGCCATCACATCCCAGAGAGGGACAGAAACACCCTCCGGCCAGCAAGCCCCACGTCTCTGACCAAGCCAAGCTGCCCCAACATCCCCAAGTGTGAGCTGCAAAACACCCAAGCGTTCAGTGTGCCCGAGCCAGCAGGGGTGCAATGAGCACCGAGGCCAGTTTTGCTACAAAGATACAGGCAGTCCCCAGGTACGAACCAGATCTACACCTGTGACAAAGAACTTGAGGTGATCAGAGCAAGCATGTACAGTTAGTTCTCAGTTAGCCTTACACCAGTGAAAGAGGCGCCCGGTGTCACCGTAGCCAGCTTCAAGGTTAGTGGTTTGAAGCCACCTGGCTCTCCCAGGGAGAAAGAGGCTGGCTGTTCTCATACAAGTGTACAGCCCCCAAACCTCGGGCAGCTCTGTCCCAGGGGGTTGCTGTGAGCAGGGCCAGCCCAGCTGCATGGGCTGTGTGGTTAGTGCGAGCAGAGGCTCTGCGAAGCCTTCTCTAGTTTCAAACCTGCGTGTGCAGCCAGGGAAGGTGACTGTGGTGCATGATGTGTTGTGTGCAGGGGTGAGGCCAGTCACTTCAAAGTGAGGGCAAATTCAGTCACAAAAGGGCAGGCAGGTAGGAAATGTCCCCAAGTCTGCATGCCCCAAAGCACAGCTAGCTCCCAACAGGGTGAAGTGGCTTGAGTGCTGGCGGCTTGCTCTCAATACAGAAGGCAGTACTCCCGCCTCCATCTGCCCAGTGCCCGGGTCCGGAGCCGGAGGCAGCGTCTGGAGGGAAGCTGGCCTGGCAGTGCCCAGGGGCAAGCCAGGCCAGGCAGAAGAGCACGACAGAGACAATGGGTGGGGCAGAAGAGCATGCTCATCAAAGAACTCACATAAAGACGGCATCCTTCTCCACAACCAAGGCCGGGGTGGTGAAGTGGAAGCCGTAGGTTTTATGAACAATGTACTTATACAACAAGTCGAGGTTTTTCTCTTCCTTCACCGACGTGTAAATCAAGGCAGCTCCATCTGAGCATCTGCTTAAGGAAAATGGATTCTGTGCCAAGCACACCCCAGCCGGCGGTGCCAAACACTACTCCCAGGTGGGCTGGCTTGTACAGGTGACAACACTTGGAACTTCAAAAGGAGCAGGTGAACCAAGTCAATAGTATGAAGCAAGTCGAGGCTGGGGGCTGCAGGTCACTCTCTCTGCAGGAGGCACTACTGCCTTTGAGGCAAACCCAGCCTATCAGGGGACACAGTCCTCCCAGGCCGGGTGCACATGTGGGACCAAGTTCACTGCCACACACCATTTATGTGAGCTGGGGGCCTGCCTGTCAGCACCTTCAGCTGGTTCTCAGCTTCCGGCGCGGGGAACAAGCTCAAGGGCCCAAAGGAAGAAAGAGGACCTGGCCATCTCCCTGCCAGCCCCATCCCCGGGCGTGGGCTGCTGACACCAAGTGCCCTGGGGTTGTTCAGAAGTGAGGCTCCGTGGCTGCTGACAGCGCCCTTCTGCCAGGCAGCACCAGACAGAAAAGGGTGCCTGCACTTGTGGCCTCTAATCCAACAGCCAGCTGGGTAACTAAGCAGGGCTGGCAAAAAGCAAAATGAGCTTTCACAGTGAGTCTGGGAAACCCAACGGGGCAGTCCCACCCTTAGAGGGTCCCGGAGGCAGAACTGACTGGAAGGCAGGGAGGTTGGTTTGGGTTTTCTTTGGCCAGAAAAGTAACACTTAAAATGAGATCCGAGGTGGGATAAGTTGTCCAGCCCTGAAGACAGGATCAAGGTGCAAAGCCTGGGAGCCTCTTTCTCCTGGTAGAAGAGACCCCTGCTTCGGGCGGGGCTCGGGAGGATACACTGGAGGCAGAACCTCCGGAGGTGTGACTGGATGAAGTCAAAGTGCTCGTCCCGATAGTCGTGCTCCTTCTCCAGGGCACTCACCGCGTCGCACTGCGGGGCAGACAGACACACAGAGAGCAGGAGTCAGCGCGGCCCGCCTCAGCCACTCAGCTCCACGGGGAGTCCCGCCCAGGGTCCCGGCAGGACTTCAGAGACACAGAATGAGGGCAACTGGAGACTTTTTGCCTTCATCTTGTGCCTCAGCTTTCTGATCTGAAACTGAAGATGAAGCGGGCCTGGCACTCCTACGCCAGGGGCAGCAAACTGGCTTGCGAGTCATGCGTGGCTCTTTCAGTACGCACGTGTGGTCTGAAGAAAACTGAAAAAGTTAAAAGAACACTACTCCGCTAACAGTGATATTGTTTGCGTGTAAAAACGTATTTATGGCTCTGGGGGGAAAATGTAATTGTTGTGAGGGGCAAGCTTGGCCCTTCCATCTCAGTAGTTTTCCAACCATGTTCTGAGTCCAACCACCTGGTTGCCGAGGGACACGGTGGCCCTGACTGTGGAATGCTTCCTGAATGTCAATGTCATCCTTGCAGGGGCTGTGCCAATCTCTGTATCGCTCGCTCCAATTTTAGTGCACGTGCTGCCCAAGAAAGCACGGAATGTTTTCAAAGCATCTTCTTCACAAGAGATGCACCTGAATTCCTCTACAACCAAACCTTTCTCGTCCCCTCAGCACCGCACAGGGGAGAAGAAACGAAGCCCGGACAGCTCATCCTCCTTTCCCTAAGGTGTTAGTTCATCACCTGCCTTCCTTCCATGAACCTCTCAGGTCCGACAACATATCTGCTCTCTGCCTGGACCCGGAGAGAGCAAAGTCCCAAGGCCTCCCACTCCCCCACAGTATTATTTCACCCCAAGAGTGGACCTGAACATTGCGTCTTAGTTGCAAGTTTGAATCCCTCAGCAAGGGCAACAGAGGGTCACAGAGATTACCCAGGTCACGAGCAAACTGAAGATCAAGGCCAGGTCTCCAGCAGTGTGAAATCTATCAGAACTGACTTTCTCCCCTGCCTCGGTCAATGCACCTAAACCACCCAAACTAGCGACCCCCTCCCTTAAGCAGAGCCTGATGATAGCCGTTCAGATGGTCCTTCAGGCAGCGGAGGCTCCCCAGGCACACACCTTCGTGCACACCACCAGCACTGGGATCCCCAGGTTATGCGTCAGCATGCTGTCGCCCAGAGGCAGGGCAACGTTTTCTTCATCCGGGCCCGAGGCCAGAGGCCCTCTTCTCTGTGGGGAACCTTGACAACCTTCTTCAGGCTCAACATAGTCTTGGAAATCTTTCATAACTACAATGGGAAGAAGAAAACAAATGAGGACACCACTGTGTGTGTGTGTACAGACACTGCACTAAAAACGTAGATGGGGTTTTGAGAAACAGACAGCAGTGGTCACAGCACAAGGGCTGTGACGAGCTCATCATCCCTGCTCTACCAAAACACCACTGCTGCTGGCCCGCGGAGGCAGAGGCCGAGGGCTGGCCCACCCCAGGAGGGCGGAGAGGCTGAGAAGCAGTGTGGACCAACGACTGCATCGTTACCACTGACTGATGCTAGCTTGCGGTGACCTGCTAACTTTCTTCAATTACCCCCCAGAACTGTGAGCAATGACTTCTGGAACCCAGAAGAGCAGCAGAGGGCCGTGGGAGGGACAGGGGGCATCAGAATAGGGAAAGGCGGGTGGAGTGTGGAGGCAGGTTGGACCTCTACCTTGTGGCAATAGGGAGGCCAGAGGTGGTCAGATAAGGTAGCTAGCTTTTCAGTTAGGCCAAAACCACACCCCCAAACCAAACCAATGCCCTTGCGTGTGTTCTGATTCACAGTGGCCCTACAGGACAGAGTAGAACTAACAGAACTGGATTAAAGAGGGCCCAGAGAGAGATGTATAGGTTCCTAACTTTTTAAAACACTGGATCCAAATTTACAAAGATTTTAGGTTATCACAGGAGCTCTGGTGGTTTAGTGGATGCTGCATTCGGCTGCTAACTGCAGGTCAGCAGTTTGAAACCACCAGCTGCTCTGAGGGGGACATGAGGCTTTCTACTCCTGTCAAGAGTACAATCTTGGAAACCCGCAGGGGCAGTTCTCCTCTGTCCTTTGGAGTCCCTAAGAGTCAGAATGGACTTCTTGGTGGGGTTTTAGGGTATCAATTTCTGAGCTTCTGGAATTTTCTGCAAGTTGTCTTTTACTGAAGAAACTGAAGGAAACAAACAAACAAACCCACAACAAAACAATAGCCTCGGCTCCAGCATGCCTATGATCACCAGTTTCGATAACGTTCCCTGCAAGGTGGGCAGCCTCCTCCAGCGGTCTGCGTTAAAACAGAAGCGTTTTCAGAGGAAGGTAGCATGGGTCCTAGCGGAGTGAAAGGGCCTCATGTTTTCACAGATCTTCAAGTCTGTGAGGAACACAATGGCCTGATTGTCCGGGTAAACCCTGCAACTGCTTAAGATCGCGTGAGGCATTCGGCGGGCTTCTCAGGGGCAGAGCCTGGACTTGGACAGGTGACCAAGCAATGGAGGGCAGTGAGGCAGCTGGCTGGGCAGCCCAGCCCGCTCTGGGAGCACCCCCCTACCGGCGTGTGTTGCAGACATTGTCAGGATGAGGCCTGCACCCCGTCGGCACTCTACAGGAACGGCTGGCTGAGGGCTGGCCCACCCCAGCGGACACCCCAGCTTTAACAGGCCTGCATTTCAGACTGGGGTGAGTGGGGGAGGAGCCAATGTCTGTGCACACAAATTTGTGAGCAGGGAGGGTTTGAATCCTGAGGAAGGCTTACTTGAAACAGTCAAGGGGTGTTTTCCCCAGTGCACACACTGACAACCTGTCTCTAGAGGGCCCTTCAAGCTGCCCCACCTGCTCTGGCTATGGTCAGCAGTGCTACTGGAAGGAGATGCAGACTGCTCCCAGCTGCTCTGTGCCTCTCCTCCCCCCCACCCCCCTTAGACCACCCCTCCTGATGGCTCTGGGGCTGCTCAGCCAGCGCCCTCACTTTGCGGGATCCTGCAGCTCAACAGCCTCCATAGACCCAAGACTTGAGGAAGTGGTCCCCAGAGCGAGCAGGTGGCTCTGCACGGAGCAGCTTTCCAGATCCACAGACTGGAGGCTCACCGCCCTTCACTCGCTCACAGCACCACCCGGAGGCGAATGCGTCTGAGTAAGAGCCAACCAACGAATGCCAACCCCAAGGCTCCCTCAGTGCCCAGCAGGGGTGGGCCCTCGGCAGATCAAGCCAATCAGGACACAGACACGGCCCAGCAAATGCTCCCTGCCTCCAACGCCCGCTCCCCTTCCTCCTCACCCCAAGACCCCGAGGGCTCGCAGCACACACGGTCACCCCGAGAAAAGACTGTCGCCTCCAGCCTCCTCAAGGGAGAGCAGCCTTTCCTGCCGCTTCCTCCACCTGCTGCCTGGAGGCCGGATGAAGGCCAGAGCTCAGGTTGTCGGGAAGGGAACACCTGAAAAGGACACGGCGGCAGGTCCTTGAGCTGCCCTCCAGAGCGGCTCTCCAGTGCTGACCTGCCTGCCTCTGGGTCTCCTCTAAGGAGCCGGCAGCCTGTCTCGCTGCCTTGCTTCCCTGTCACACCCACGGAATCTAACCATCAATGACTACAGCACAGTCGGTCCCGAGTCTCGTGGGAGCAGGCAACTTGTCAGCTGTGCCCCAGAGTGTCCCAAGTGCTGGAACAGGACACACGTCCCCTGTCTTCGAGAGTTAAGAACGTCTTCAGTGGTGAGAGCTGCCCAGTACACTTGGAAATGGCTTAAATGGCAACTTTCACGTGATATGCATCTCATCACAAAGTTTAAAAACACACCGAGCTCAGCCTCTCTTTCTTTCCTGCTTGAACAAATCCTGACAAGGCCCCACTCTGAGAGTCCCACGCTCCTGTGTCTGCCCCTTCTCCGCGGGGTGGGGTGGGTGGGGCGGGGTACGGCGCTTCCTGTGCAGCAGATGAAACCAGCGCTCCAGTTACAGTGCTCTGGGGTCATCTACTTCGGGGAAGAAAGCGGCATTATCTAGAAAGGCAGCAGTTAGCCGGGCGGGCTGAGCTGCATAACAATCAGTGCAGCGTGTGACCCAGGAGACACGCACACACTATGCGCTAAAGATAAAGTGAACGAACGCCTTCCGGTCTGAGCTCACGTAAGGCAGGGCAGGAAGACACAACCCAGGGGTTCAGTGTGAAAAGCATGTTGAAATGTCTGTGCCCTTCCTTCTGCCAGGAAGTGTGAAGGTCCTGTGTGCCCTGCCTAGAAGCCTCATTCACTGCTAAAGGGATGAGGTCACCCGTGGAAATATGCCAGGCTGAGCCAGCCTGCCCTGCCGAGACGGCTGGTCCCTGCCACTGCTGCCCCAGCTCCAGCCCCCGCCCCTTCCCTGGCAAGTGGACAGGAGCTGATGTAACTGCACAGAGGCAAAGGAAAGGAAAAGAGAGCTTCCGAACCACAGCCAGGAAAAACAAAAACATCCTGGCTTCCTTTAATTTTCAAATTCTTTGTTCTCAAAAGGACCTAACTGTCCTTAGACTTAATAATAGCCTTTCGTTTTAATGATAAGAAAAAGACCCTCCTAATTCTAACTGAAGTCATATTTGCTGGATTCCAAAAATAACTAAGGAGCGAATCAAAACCGCTTCTTTGGGACTTCCTTTAAGCCAGAGGTTCTCAACCTGTGGGTCTCGACCCCTTTGAGGGTCAAAAGACCTTTTCACAGGCATTGCCCGATTCAGAACAGTAGCAGAATTACAGGGTTGCAGCATGAGGAAGGTTGAGAACCACTGCTCTAAAGACTACTGCCACCAAGAGGGTCTAGCACACCGGCAGTGCAGTGAACTGATGATGTCATCGTCCAGTCAGTCTGTCTAACTGCCACCACAGGACCAGTGGGGCTGCAGAGGTGATGGGCTGATTGCCACTGGCGTCCAGTTGACTCCTAGGCAGTGACCCTGCACAGAGACCATCCATCTTTGCAGAAGCAGGGACTCCTCTTCCTCCTACACAGCCTGACTCTCCTGGTGGGTCTAACTCGCCCAACCTGGGTTTAGCAGCCCAATGCCTCTCCCATAGCACCCCAGGGCATCCTGGTTGGGAAGGACCCGGCCAATAAGGTCTGTAAAACTCCAGCGTGGGGTTTGGTCAGCCTTGCTAGCTTGTGAGGTTTAAAATCCGCCATCCCAGAGGCAGAAGGGGAACTTGCTGCCTCCCAGGAAGAAGTCCTGGTTGTGCAGCAGGACCTCAAGACTCCTACAGCAAACCTCTCCGATCCAGCAGACAGCCGCCGCAGTGCCCATGGGGAGCGGCAGCACAGGTGTCACAGCAATGGTGGCAGCAGAACCAGGAAACCCACCAAGGATGGTGTGGTAAACTTCCCACACCAGGGAGCAAGGAAGCTGACTGCCTTCGGGCAGGAGGTTTGCTGGGGGAGTGTAGCCCGGGGAGCTAGGTGCACGACCCACAGATCAAGAGCTGAGTGCCCTTGGGCTAAGGCTTACTGGGGCAGTGGGCATTTATTGGCAGCACTAAAAGAATTTAGGAGCACTTTCCCGAGCAGGGCAGATGCCATGAGAGAGAAGTGGGCATACAGGCATGGCTGAGAAGCTATCCTGACTGAATAACTGTACCCTGAGCATTTCTGATGCTGCACTGTACCCTAGTGACTTCTCTAATAAACCTCATGAGTACTGTCTGTGAGTTCTGTGTGCCCTCTAAAATGCAAATCCAGCAGAGAAGTCAAGACTGCTGTGGAGAACATCTGGTGTCAGAATGTTTGGTAGCAAGGTAGAGGCCTGTCCCTCAGCCTCACAGGATTCGGCCTTGGGTGGATGTTGACTTTGATTCTCTCCCCAACCTTCACGCAGCAGCCAGAGCACTCAGATGTTGCCTCCAACACAGCTGACAGAGCGTTCATCACCAAGAGGAGAGCCAGGGAAATGGCACCAGCTGTAGACACAGCCGGTCCCCACAGCCACTGATGCTCGGTGGCAGACGGGGAGCAACGGAAAGGCAAAACGATCCTTAGAGCTGCCCACATCTGGGAGGCAAGCAAGGGATTCTTCTTTGCACGACAATAAGGAACATGGAACCATTTACAGGTGCTCCCTGCCTTTCAAAAGTGTGTTTCACCCCACTTTGCTGATAGAAAACCGAGGACATTCACTGGTAGGAAGCAGAGCAGAGCGAACTAGCAGGCAGCATGCACCTGAGCAGGGAGTGCAGAAGCCACAGGGCTGAAGAGTGTCCGCAACACTGCGGTGGCGGGAGGTGAGATTCTGTGTGCTACTTGGAGGGTAACTCGGGGGTCTAAGAAGACTTACAAAAAGACCTGTGGCCCAGCAGTAACGGGCTGCTAACCAAACGGTTGGCTGGTAGTTGGAACCCCGCCTTTGCTCTGCCGGAGACGATGAAGCAGGCTTGCTTCTGTAAAGGTTTCCAGCCTCAGAAATGCCATGGGCTCTACATCCTGTCCTAGAGGGATCGAGCTGACTCGATGGCAGCACGTTTGATTTGGGTTTTTAGGAACACTAGGAAATGTTTTCCAAATTAATGGCAGCTGCTTCCGTATGCCATTTCCACTTAGCAAGGCCTACGCACACAGGACACCCTACTTTCAAATAGTGGCAAAAACCTGCATCTTCTTCAACCAGACACTTTGAACACTTTATGATGACTGAGCTTACGAGAGCAACCCTGAGAGAAACAGAGCAAACCAAAGGCGAGCACTCTGTATGAGCAGCTCGAGTCCTGAAGGCGAACCTCTGAGGTGACGCAGACAGCTTCCGAGGAGGAAGGTGCGGCTTTACTTACACTTCCGCTCCAGTTCCCTCATGTCTTCGGGTGGGATTTTCATTTTATCAATGTGTTCTCGTAAAACACTAGCCCATTTCTGTAGTGATTCCAACACAGTCCAAGGCCGAGACATGTCTGCCACAAAAATGACCAGGGTCTCTGGCAAGGCCTCGGCTGAAATGGCGAACTTGAGCAGGCCTTTGTGGTACAGGTCTCCGTCCAGAATCCACACGTTGCAGCGCGTGTGATCTAGGAAAAGAGGCAAAGACAGCACATTACCACAGGAGACCACCAGCACTCCGGAACCAGAGCCATGAGGAAGACCCAGAAGGTGACGCCACAGAACGCAGACAGAAATCCTAACTGGAAAAGGGCCCCAGCCTCAGTGCCCACCAACTGCCATACGATATGACGTGCCCACACCTAAATAAAGCCCAGCAAGATCTAAGGGATGAAGTCATTTTCACTCTCAACAACAATCAAGAGCCAGGAGGGAAAGCTGCACACGTCCCCTGTCCAATTGTACCGCAGATGAAATAAACACCCCATTCTCTGAAGACGCCAGCCGCGGGCGCGGCGGTGCCTGCTGCTACACAAACTCCTCTGTGTCCGTCACACCGAGGAGGAGCACATTCACCCCTGACTGACGGAGGCGCCCAGAGACAGGCCCTTGGGGTTTACACAGCACGACAAAAGCACTGCTGGGCCACGGGTAACACTGCGAGGTTACAGTTACTTTGACACGACAGTGACAGGAGGCTCTGTTTTGTAAAAATAAGTGTCTCTTAGATACACACTTGGTGCTTTTACGGGAGCACCGATGGCATCTGAAATGTGCTTCACAAAAGTGCGGGGGTGGGGGTGGGGGGGAGGGGACAGGGTCAGGGTACAGGTGAAAGACAACTGGCCAGGAAGCGGGAGTGGCTGAAGCCAGGTGAAGGGTCTGTGAGGGTTCATGCGATGAGTCTCTCCTCTAGAGATACTTCAGTTTTCAGAATAATAAAAATTAGGACCATCTACACACGAATGTACAAATACTGACATTTAAGGGGGCATAAGGTTCTAAAATCACCCCTGGATGTTTAAACAGAGAAGACAATTCTCCAAACTGATAACACATATTTTTTAAAAGCTTATGTGTCTTTTATGAGAACTTTTTAAAAATAAAAATGCCCCGAGGAAAAACTCCTACCATCAGAAACACCATTTCACTAAATTTTCCACCAGGAAATTCCAACACCTACTCTTAAATCCTGTCTTAAACATGGGCTAGCTTTTGAAATGCACTCAATTCATGTACACGCTGCCAAGCTTCATGTTTCCCTCTGCTCTGCATTTCCATCAGCTGCGCTTCCCAGTTCAGAGATGACAGCAGATTTGGTGTAGGTGTGAATCCCTTTAAACCACTGCTCCCTACCAGGCACCAGTCTCCTTTCTTCCTGTTTCTCTCCCTGCCACACATACCACACCTAAGCCAGACCGATGCCTGGAGGGCACACACCACTGCCCCCAGCTCAGCAGACAGAGGTCCCTTGACCAGCCAGATTCTGCTCTCTGTGGGTGAATGTCCAGGGAGTGTATACTTAGAATCCAGTTGCACCGCACCAGGGCTGGAACACATATAATTAGCCACAGGTAAGGGCAACCTGTCATCACCCAGGAACTCATAGCCAACAAACCACATCCACACCTGCAGGCACCAGGCGGCCGTCAAGGTAACCTTAATTTCACACGGCACTTAAGATTCTGAGCACTGTCTGCAGTCGGCTATGGATGACGGTGAAAGTTCAAAATCCATTTGCAGAGTCCCCACATAGAGTGAGTATCCACTGAATTCACTTCTGGTCCTTAACCAAGGATGCAGATAGCCCTGCTCTCAGGGCACAGTGCATTGGAGAGAGGATTACCTGCACCCTTCTCCAGCCAGCCCAAGGAGGGGCAGTCTCTCTTAGGGGCTCGCCGGAGTGTACCCTTGATGGAGCTCACCGTCCTGGGGACAATCGGGGTTGCACAGTCCTGTCTTGGTTGGAAGGCCTTGGAGCAATCTGGTAAGCAATTCTACCGCGTGGTCCCAGGCATGGCCCTGCTCTCGCTTCTATTGCCCCACCTGTGACACTGATGTTTTGATCTGCCACCAATCACGAATGGGCGTTCCCTTTGTTAACTGGCATGCCTTAGTTAACTAACATCCTGCCTGTGAATCCTGGGGCACCGCTATGACCTTGTGCTAGTGGCCTCCATTATCCGGATGATGTCTTTGTTTTTGTCCTTTTCGGGACTTAAAACATTTCCCCCTTCAATTATATTTGATATTGGGGTCTCTTTTGTACCCTCAAACAAAAGGAAGGAGGCAGGAGAATGTCAGCCTGAGGCTTTGGCATAAAATGCATTCACGCCATCTTGAAACTGAAGAGGCTGCAGTGGCCCAGAGAGCACCCACACCAGGTTTCATTTCCAAGGAATCACGCGAAGGGAATGAGCACTACCGTGTTTCGAGGCCTCTGCTACACCTGACATACATCACTCATCCATGGACACGGCTAATCGACCCGGGACATCTGGTCTACCACTGAGGAAGCCAGGGGCCATAGTTAGTACCCAAGGCCACACACAGGAAGTTAGGAACGCGATTCAAAACCAGCTCTCCCTGCCTCTCAACACAGGCTCCACAGAGTCATGCTGCCCAAGCATGCTCACACTGAGCACATGCACAAGAGACCCGGATACTTGTGAGGTCCTGCAGGCCAGCGACCTACCCTATGCCCACTGAGACTAGCCCAGACTCCAGGGCACCACAGCACCTCCGCCCTTTTCACAAGGAGTCTCCTAGGTACTGGGTTTCCCGCTGAGCCCCTTGGGGAACTGTTCAGCTTAGCAAAGGATTATGGGCGAGCGGAGGGGAGAGGGGGCAGGCAAAAAACATCTTTCGGGCTGTACTCCAGTTTAACGAAATACTTTGTCTCCAGATCTCTTCTAAAATCTATTATTCCAATCCAACTCACAATTACAAGAAAACACATTAAAAACTGTATCTAAGAGAAGAGTACTTTTAACTATTCTAACTATTCCGTAGGTAGAAGCTATTCTAACCTGCATGTTAGAGGTAAGGAATTAAAGACAACAGTACTGTTCCCATCCCCAGGAACTATGCATTTCTAAACTATCATGAAGAGCCTCAGCAAAGTCCCTGTGAACTTGTTAAGCCCTTACACAGGGAGCCACTGCAGTCTCAGACTCCCCCTAGAAGCAGGCGGGGTAACAAGGGTGCCCAGCCAACCGCCACACAGCCCTCTCATAAACACATCGTCCACACCACTCTATGTCGATCGGAACTTGACCTTTGGTATCCCCATTAAGTAAGGGTTAGCCAGAACAACAGCTAACGCCCCCCGGTTTCTGCCAACATCCACCGTGGGAAAGTGGGTACTGTGGTACGATAGACACCCACTTCATCGACTGCCTTGTGACTCAGCAGAAGGCAGAGGGTGCAAGAGCAGCAGTCAGGGAGCTGAGTCTGGCCTGCACCCACCAGGGGCCCAGGCGCCACTCACCATCTCGGTCCTCGTCGTGAACACTGAGGTAGAGGTACTCTAGGCCTCTTCCTTTCTTGCCATGCTCAGCTCCTTGTAGTTTCGTCATAAGGGTTGTTTTGCCGGAACCATCTTCACCTACAAACGATTTTTGCAGGGAGACAGGTGTGTACTGTTTGCTCAGGGTAAAGAGGAGTCGTCCCGACATTTGCATGAGGACGGACTGCTAAACGTGACAGACACAGACTCGGCCGAGGCCTCGGCTACACTCATACACAGAGCAGGCTTTGCTGTGACACTGGCTGCAGGGGTGGGGTGAGAAGGCCCCAAATTCCAGCATGACTCTCGACTGACGCTGTCCTCACCCCACAAGAGAATGACCAAGTCAGGGCCCCAGGGCCCACCACACTTTATAAGACATGCATTTGGGGAAGTGCAAGGAAAACGTGGGACTGCGTTCTCACCAAAGGCACATTTCCCATAAGGATGCAATCTTCTATTGATAATTAACTTCAAAGTTGGGGACTTAGGAGCTAAAAAAGGTCTGATCCTTCCTTACCCCCCTGAAGGACAGCAGTTACTATTCACTTCTGATTTCGTACATCTCCTCCATTAGCAGTCTAAGGCTGGGAAACTGATGAAAATAATTACAGACCTGAGCAAAACGCTTTTAAGGGCAACCTCTGTAATTATCAAGCATCTTCTTATCTCCCTCTGCCCAACCAACAAGCCTCCCTCTCCTCACACTGAAAACAGAGAACCCTCCAAAAACAAATCCCCAATACTAGAGAGAACCACAAAGAGAAACCTCAGTAGGGACTGACCACGGGGACTGAAAGGCATCCGACAGATCTGGGGCCTCCTCTCCATCCCTGATGCCACCAATTCAGCCAGGCCTCCACAATCCCAGACCATGGAGAGCGCCTGTCAGCCGGACTCCGGGACCCGCCTAGTTCTCCCTCAGGAACCCTGGGAAGCCCACTAAGGCAGCTATTCTTACAAGATCTGGCGTGTGGAAGGGGAAACACAAGGCCCTGCAGAGCAGAGCCTATCAGGAAGAAGCTGTAACTTGTGAGCCCTTCATCAATCACCTTCTGCAAGAAGCTTCCCGAAGATTCCAAATCCCACACTCCCCTTGACACCTCTTCCTGCAAACACAGTCCCTCCCCGTTCCATGCCCCTTGACACTTCTGCAAAATGACACGCCCCACCAAGCCAGTGTGGCTCCCACACCAATCCCCTGCAGGTGGTGTAGTGCGAGATGTTCCCCAGGAGCATGACAGTCGTCTGTACGGTCCCAGTGCCCAGCCCACGGGCCCCTCCACACACAGCTTGGCTGCAGGATGAACCCGGCCAAACTTCCTGCACAGTTTGGGGAAACAGAGGCCCGCAAGGTGAAGCAACCTGTCTGGGTGATTCGGCAGTAGGAGGATGGAATCACGCAGAAAAGTCCCAGGGCTCACACCCAGGCCTGCTGCCCAATCCTTAAACACGTCACAGGGCTGCTCCTGCGGACCCCCAAACGACCCGGACTCCAAGTCGCCTAGGGTTCCCCCAAGTCATCCGGCTGCCCTCATCCCCCGCCGCCGCTCTCACGGGGTACCGGCACTGCAAGTCCGCCCGACTTGTCGCCCAGGGGGCAGGGCGCGATGTGTCACCCACCCCACGCCAGTGCCACTGCGCTCGC